ATAATATATAAGAAGCTATAATAAGTAATCCACCACAGTTAGCAACCACCAGTTCGGTCCATTGCCAACCCTCTATCTAGCATTTTCTTGGAGCTGGTTGCACCCTTGAGCCCACGAGACATCTGAACTTTCTGTAATAGCCTGTCAGAGATATTACTGTTGTTACAGATAAGTGACCTGCTGTACTGCACTGTCAACATTTGTTCAGTGTGTTGTTGACTGTAGAACTTTCACACGTCAGCACAGGTAGCATTGATAACAATGGTGTTTATAACAAGAGTGCTAGTTCAAGGGTTTTGATGTTGTGCACATTGGCTCCCAGATGTACTTTACCGAGACACTTAATGGAACAGACGGATTATTGATGTTAGCAGTTACATCTTTGCTCTTGCAGTGACACAAAGTAATGTGCCGACTTTTTTCTGATCAGGGGCAGGCCAGTCAGGCTTTAGTTTTGCACAATTTGATTGAAGTTAAAGACATTTGTATATCATTTTAAAGCCAATTTTCAATCTTGGTTTCTTGTCTAGCAAAATACACTCACCGGCCACTTTATTTGGTGCACCTTGCTAGTATTGGGTTGGACCCCTTATTGCCTTCAGAACTGCCTTAATTCCTCAGAGATGTTGGTCCATATTGACACGATAGCATCAAATTTGTCAGCTGCAAATCCATGGTGTGAATCTCCCATTCCACCACATCCCAAAGGTGCTCTATTGGATTGAGGTCTGGTGACTGTGGAGGCCATTGGAGTACAGTGAACTCATTGTCATGTTCAAACCAGTTTGAGATGATTTGAGCTTTGTGACATGGTGCGTTATCCTGCTGGAAGTAGCCATCAGAAGATGGGTACACTGTGGTCATAAAGGGATGTACATGGTCAGCAACAATACTCAGGTAGGCTGTGGTGTTTAAACCATGCTCAGTTGGTACTAAGGGGCCCAAAATGTGCCAAGAAAATGTCCCCCACACCATTACACCACCACCACCAGCCTGAACCGTTGATACAAGGCAGGATGGATCCATGCTTTCATGTTGTTTACACCAAATCCTGACCCTACCATCTGAATGTGGCAGCAGAAATCCAGACTCATCAGACCAGGCAACGTTTTTCCAATCTTCTATTGTCCAGTTTTGGTGAGCCTGTGTGAATTGTAGCCTCAGTTTCCTGTTGTTAGCTGACAGGAGTGGCACCTGGTGTGGTCTTCTGCTGCTGTAGCCCATCTGCTTCAAGGTTCGAGGTGCTGTTGGTTCAGAGATGGTCTTCTGCAGACCTTGGTTGTAACCAGTGGTTATTTGAGTTACTGTCACCTTTCTGTCGACCTCTGGCATCAACAAGGCATTTTCACCCAGAGAACTGCCGCTTACTGGATATTTTCTCTTTTTGGGACCATCCTCTGTAAACCCTAGAGATGGTTGCGTGCGAAAATCCCAGTAGATCAGCAGTTTCTGAAATACTCAGACCAGCCCGTCTGGCACCAACAACCATGCCACATTCAAAGTCACTTAAATCACCTTTCTTCCCCATTCTGATGCTCAGTTTGAACTTCAGCAGGTCGTCTTGATAACTACATGCCTATTGAGCTGCTGCCACGTGATTGGCTGATTAGCTATTTGCGATATGAAGCAGTTGAACAGTACTTAACAAAGTGGCCGGTGAGTGTAAAATAATAGCAGTATTGAGGATTGTGCTAAAAGGAAACAGGAAAATATGACGGTGCACATTCACACAGGTGTTTGCAGTTATGGCTGATTGCTCAGGTTGGAGCTGGGTGATAGAAATTTCCTGGGGACTCCAAACTCACTCACTAATAATAATGAGATAATGATGATGATGAACAGAAACAACAGATCAGTGTTAGTAGCCTGACAGATCTGTCAGTCAATCACAGTGTGCACATGCTCGCACAGCCTTGAGTGAGAGGTCTAATCAGGCAGCGCTGATTGAGAACACCTGTGTACTGTAGGTGGACCATGGCTGCAGGCTGTAGTATAGTGTCATATTTTCAGATGCTTTGTTAACATAAAATGCTATTTGTCTTCCTTACTGGGTGTCTAGAATGTAAAACACTTGACATCTGAAGCCACTGAGGATATTTAAAGGCCTTGGATGTCAACAAAGATTTAAAAGGCTCCTGTTTCACTAGGCATTGCTCTGGTAGTGGATCCCTGCTGCTTCCCTCTGTGTACAGGGAAAGCCTTATATGGCAGAGGATCCCTGTTGGACCTTGAGACCTTGTGTCCCGTGATAGACACTGTGGAGTCTGGTGCAACATGTGGTTTATAGTAAGACCTTGCCAGCAGGAGCAGATAAGATCTTTTTTGTTTGGGAAGGGAGAGGTAACGAGTTAAGTCGTGTCCTGCTGCAGATCTACAAAATATATGAAGCAAGAAGAAGAAGGAGAGGGAGAAGAAGAAGTGTGCATGGTGGGAGTTGTGTGAAAATGCGCAGCTGAGGTGTGAAGACACACCGTGAAAGTTGAATTTTCACGACAACACGACTTTGATTTCCACGGATGAACTGGTGCTCATGGGAGAGCAGACATGACCCGAGGGAGATTGCTGGTCAGCGCACGCGGAGGAGTGACGTGCTCAGCTCCGGTTTGACTGACGCGCTCGCGTGTGTGTTTGTTGATGTGTCCATGTGGCGTTGAGCGTTAAAGTGCCGGCTGAGCTCTTTCTCCCCCCCCCCCCCGTCTCGCTCTCATTGCTTGCCGTTATATCCTCGCTCACCATAGCTCGAGTATCAGTTACCGGGTCCCGACCAATCCCCGCGCGCTCTCAGAGCTCGAGAGGAGACAGCAGCAGCGGAGAGCAGACCGAAGAGAGGCAGACACATACAGAGACTAGAGAAGGCGAGAGGAGCACACACCCAACCATCTATCTATCTATCCATCCATCCATCCATCGTCTGTCCTCCTTCACCCCCTCCCAGCACACATCCAGCTCCCTCCCCCCTCCTCTTTTCCTCCCCTCGCCCTCCAGGTCCTCCTGACTGCAGCTGTTTGGGTTAACCGGGGAGGCGCGAGGCAGGATGCGCGATGGGACAAGCGTGCGGACACGCGCTCCTCTGCCGTAGCCAGCCGCCGTCCTCCGAGATGTAAGTGTGTCTAATAACTATGTTGTGTACAGTGTGTGTTGTGTTTGTGGCTTGAAGCTTCTTGACAGTTTCACATGCAGCGCGCAAACTGAACGAGGCACATGGCGCCGAGCGTTGAGCCAAATACAGACTGGTGGTGAAGTAGTAGTGTGAGTGTGACCTGCTGGGTGTCATTACCCTCCCCCTGACAGCGGCAGTAAGGACCCCGGCTGAACTGTGCAGGTGGCTGTCAGTAAACCGGTGTGTAGCTCACCTCTATCATCACACTGTAATATCACTAAAATGTTCCCACAGTGTGTGTGGTCTGCTCTACAGCTAGTTTACTGACCTTATCATGCGTTTGTATCTTTCAGGGTATCGTAACAGCACACTGATGGCTACTCTTCCTCTAATATCCCTACTGGGAGAGATAAATTGACTCTGCTAGCCCCCATTATTGCATCTTTCATTGTTATGTTCAAGTTTTTTTAAAGGGCTAACTTCAAGGCAAACCGCATTATCCTAGAATACAGTTTGGCCTGATTTGTTGTAGCTTCTTGTGCCACTTTTTAATATGGCATCCTTTATAAGAAGGCTATACGGTTAATAAATTATTTACTAACACCTTATTGATTACAAGCCATTAATGAGAAAAGCTCTTGGGTTACCAAGTTGTGGAAAATGATCTCCCCTTTTCCACCAAATTAGTTCTTGAACCGGTACCATTCAGGATTCTTGGGACCTTGGTGCTATCTAGCGAACCTGCCCATGTTCCCACCAGTTTTGCACGGAACCAAAGGAACCAAGTAATCAAGGATGTGTCATCAACAGAGGGTATTCCACAATGCACAGCGGACGTAAACAGTAGTTGCAAAATCGAACAACAAGCAAACAAGCATAGCAACTACTAGTGAGATGACTACACGTGCTTTTTCCGGATAATTTCTCAATTGACTTCTCCATCATTGCCTTCTCCTTCCTGGGGTGGCTGTGGCTCAGAGGTAGAACGGTTCGTCCACTAATCAGAGGATCAGCAATTCTATCTCTGACTTCTCCAGTCCGCATGTTGAGGTATCCTTGAGCAAGATACTGAACCTCAAATTGCTTCCAATGGCTGTTCAATCAGTGTGAGTGTTTTAAAGACTGAGTAGCATGTGGTACCTTGTACGGTAGCCTCGACCACCAGTTTGAATGTGACTCTTAGTGTAAAAGGTGCTTTGAGCGGTCAGATGACTAGAAAGATGCTATACAAGTGCAGGTCCATTTACAGACTTTTTTCCAACTGGTAGAATATGACATTCCCGCTGTTGTCGTCACGGTTTTGCACTTCATGTCAAGGAAAATTACTTTTTGGTTTCAGGTGAGAACCAACTTTTTGGGTTCTGAACCAATTAGTTTTGGTCAAAAGGCTCTGAACGATTCAAAATCAGGTGCAAGAGCTGGAAAAGAACCGCTTCCATGTTGGTGGAAAAGGGGCATTTAATGGGTCAGTCTTACCTTGTGAAATAGGTCTGCACAGAAACCAGCCAACTTATGCATTTTTAAGTTGATTACCAATATAAGACTGCTTTATAACCCATTAAAAGGATGAACACCAGCCTTAGAGACGTTTCACAGCCTGGTAATCCATAATTAGCTCTTATGAATGGTTAACAACTATTCTATAATGCATTAGAAGGTAATTTATTAACCATTAATGAAGCTAAATTTATAAGCCCTTCATATCAAGTGCCCTATTAGAAGGTGGTGTCCCGTGTTTCACCAAAATTGGGGATTTTTAAGTTTATAGATAAACTTGAGAATAAATGCCCTTTATGTGCAGTTTTCTCCGTTAACACCCCAGAATGCATCATCACAAAGCTTAAAACCAGGGTGTTCTTCAGCGTTGTTTATTTTTGACCCTGGGGCTGTTTTCTTGTTCATGAAAAGTTGACATTTCAGAGATAAGTAGTTTTCACAGGATAGCAAATACATGCCGTGGATCAAAGGAGGCTGACACAATCATTATTAATGCAATAAAGCAGCCCAGTGCTGCATCCTATCTTTGTGTAGCATATAGTGTGTGTTGAGAATGTCTCAGAGAGGTGTTTATTACTTTTTCCCAGTTTTGTTTATAAGGTTTTCAAGAGGTCACATTGGATTTTCACATATTTATGTATTATAATATGTGGTTTCCTGTATACACGTCAATACATACACAATAGTGTCAGCAATACAAAACCAGGGGAACCATTAACAAAAAGAAATACATTACTAAGGAGAAAAAGCCAATATAAACAGATACAAAGCAACAGCTAGGTCACCATTCGAATGGCAACACAAGAAATAAGTAAGTAAATCAAACCACAACTAGACAAGACACTTCAAAAGATGTCATGGATGTCTCTCAATCTGGGACAGCAGGGATTCCACTTCCCCAGGATAAGTTGATAAAAAAAGGACCTCATGTTTTATTAAATTTGTCAGAGGAACCCCTTACAGTATTAAGAATGGGCTGGCTAAGTGAGTCACAAAGGCGATGAAGTCTGCTTTGTATTCTGGGAGTGACAGAGTTGGAGGAGAGACTCCTATGGGGTTTTGATAGCAGTTGGTTGAGCTGGGGTTTTGGTGACTTGGAATGTGGTGTTAAAAATTCTGGACCAGTAACTGTGCAAAGAAGGGCACTACCAAAACAGCTGGGCATGGGTAGCAGGCGTCTGACGACATTAGTCATAGGTAGAGTCAGCATCACTAGAAATCCTAGAAAGCCTGAGCCTTAGGTAAGTGAGTGTGGTGTATGGTGTCAGATTTATGTAAGTTAAACATGCTCATGAGCAAATTATATTATTTCACGTGCCGATATTGACTGCCACTCGCACGATATAAGTCCTTGCACTACTTCAACGACCGAGTGTCGTACAGGCAGCTCTGAGTGAGAAACAAAGCATAGGGAGAGGCTAAGAATGGTACCGGCCTGTGTATAACTAAGCAGCAAGTGCACAGAACAACCACCATGTGCAGCTTGGCCAGTGCTGTCACAGGTAAATCTGTTCTTAAAGTTAAGTTCTGCTCGTACAAATCAACCTGACTTTCGACAGTATGGGGGCGGAAACCAAGGGAGGCAGAGATCCTCTTATGATTGATTACTTTCAGCATAATCACATCCACATGGACCTCCTTGTACCTTGATTGTGTTTCACCCAAGAGAAAGGTTTCTCAACCAAGCAAAATCCCTCCAATGTATAAAAAGAGATAGTTCCACTCTACCTGGTCAAAGGATTTCTCTGTATCCAGTGAGATCATGGGTTCAGGTATAGTTGAGGTAGAGGGATTATATACAACATTAAACAGTTGAGGTTAGAGGTGGAAAAATGGCCACCTATCTTGGATAAACCCTGTTGGTTTGGTGAGATGATGGAAGGTAGAAAAGACTCCAGAGCCATAGCTTAAAGCCACAGATAGCAGACGCAGGGCCGTAGCTTGAGCAGGATAGGGGTTCTCTACCATATTTAAAGTTAATGACACTGAGGCCTGGGTGAGTGTTACAGGTAATTAAGTGAGTTAAATGAATCATCAAATGCATCAGTTAGAAACGGTGTTAATTTGTCAAATAATTGCCACCCAGCCCAGGGCATTCTCCGGATGGCATTGAGAAAGCTCCTTTTCTCTAGCTTGGTAAGACCATTCCGATGCTCAACACTGTTTAGCTGTCTATATCTGTCTGGACTCGATGCCTCCCCAAACACTTTGGGTGAGCAGGAGTACTCCTTCAGGGGGATGTACATCTTCTTCATTACCAACAGAGCCAGTTGATTAATCAAGCCTTTGCCGAATCCAGTCTGAGGAACAGTGAAAGCGTCTTTTCCTCCGAGAAACTCAGTGGGTGCATACTCTTGTTCTTGTTTAATTGTTGTTATTGACTCTATGTCTACAATAACTTCTCTGTTTGCTGTGTTTACTCTACTAACGTTAGAGTTAGTGCTTGTTGCTTCGGGAGCCACCATTACTGTTATTTAAGCTGCGGCCTACTTTTACATCATCGGCTACAATGCAGTCCCTGACTGGCAGCTTGAATTGTCAGCTACAGTGCGGATCCATGATTTGCCCACATTGGATTTGAATGTCTGGAAAGTGTTTGGGGCGGCTCAGAGTACAGATTGATACAGAGAATAGGCACAGGATGTTAAGCCCACATTATCAGGATGATCTTGCCAGGCTAACTTCTCTCCCCTCCAGAGACGTGTGTATTAAACTCTACAGTGATTGTAAAGTCATTAGTTGTGGTGGTGTTGTTCAGTCTGTGTGTGTTTGTCATGATCCTTCTCTGCCGCATCTGTCTGGAGAAAAAAAGAACTTTTAAATGTCAGGGCCACACTTGGTGTTTGACTTAATGTCAGCTAATAAAGTAGAGCCCTCCTCATATTGAAATAGGGTTCTCCTGTTTGAAATGAAAGTTTGCCTTGTAAACACACAGCGTCTGCTCTCAAATTAAGTGATGCATCTGCTGCTGCAGAAATGGGCGATGATGATCACAACGCGTGGCTGATCAAACGGCGTACTATATATTCTGTAAGGTGAGAGCTTCCCTCAGGACATGTCTCGATGTCTATATTCATTGTTTTTTTATGCTATAAGTTCCCCCTCTCTCATGGTTGAATAGCATCATTTGCAGTTCATAACACTGTGATGTCATTAAATGGTGATTGTACAAAGTCTTAGAGACAACTCCCTAATATCAAATTTCAACCCCTCTTGGTCTGTTTGAAAAATCCTCATCTAATGTGCTCTTCCTTCATTATTGGTTTAAATCCAATAAGGGAAATCACTGGAGGATAATGGCTTTTATTCACCTCGCCAGCGCTTGTCCGAAAAGGCTAAGCTTCTTACACTGGGCATTTGTTGGCCAGTCTAGGAGAAAATAACCAGACTTGTGGCAGGATAATGAATCTGCCAGGTGGACGTCAACGATCTCTGACATACAATTAGTTTCAGTAGCTGGTCTCACCTGCTCCCCTCAAGCTGGGATCGCTTTGAATCGGAGA